TTCTTTGCCTTGTTGGTCGTGTACCTGAATTCTCTGTGGTATGCGTATCTGGTACAGTAGTATACACAATGGGGCTACGTGACCAGGTCCCCCCCAAAGGGCTAAATTTAAAAAATTTATTAATCTAATGAAGTCACCGAGAGTGTTCCCAATGCCGTTTTGCTATAGCGTAACTATCTACCGAGATGCATGCAAAACTTCGAGAAAATCGGTCAAATAGTTTAGGAAATAATCACTTTTTAGTGAGCATGGGGTCGGTCTGGCGAAAGGCTAACAATCCAATGTATTGTCGTACTTGTTATATATTATCGAGGCGAGAGGTGTTTTTAGCTGAATGAATCGCAGGTCTCGGCAGTCATCACCTCGCTACTGTCTCGGGGGTTGCTTTGAGTGAGCGCCGTGGACGAGTATAAGTGTGTGCGCGTGTGTATTTTGGCTGGACATTTTGCCTTCTCCCGACCGACCCCATGCTCACTTAAAAGTCAATATTTCAGAAACTAGTCGACCGATTTTCATCAAATTTTGCATGCACCTCAGTAGTAGTATACTCAATGGGGCTACGGGATTAGGGACTTCGCAAAGGCTCAATTTTTAAAATTGAGCCCTTGGTGGGGACCTGGTCCCGTAGCCCCATTGTGTATACTACTGGTACCTCTAGTATTTGGAAGAAACAGTACTTGAACAGCCGCGTTTGTCATATTGCCAAGTATGAAGTGATCCACATTTTACATGTATATATGAAGAAATGCTTAAGATCAATTTCATGTTGTACTAATACCCTTACTCAAAGTTCAGTTGTAAAACAAAAGAGCATTTCCCAACCGTAAGGATTGTCAAGGGGTGAATGATCAACAAGCATTTCCCAACCATAAGGATTGTAAAGGGGAGAATGATCAACAAGCATTTCCCAACCATAAGGATTGTAAAGGGTGAATGATCAACAAGCATTTCCCAACCATAAGGATTGTAAAGGGGTGAATGATCAACAAGCATTTCCCAACCGTAAGGATTGTAAAGGGATGAATGATCAACAAGCATTTCCCAACCGTAAGGATTGTAAAGGGGTGAATGATCAACAAGCATTTCCCAACCATAAGGATTGTAAAGGGGTGAATGATCAACTTTCCCAACCGTAAGGATTGTAAAGGGGTGAATGATCAACAAGCATTTCCCAACCATAAGGATTGTAAAGGGGTGAATGATCAACAAGCATTTCCCAACCGTAAGGATTGTAAAGGGGTGAATGACCGAAAAATATCCCAAACCCAAGGATTGTAAAGGGGTGAATGATCAACAAGCATTCCCAACCATAAGGGTTGTAAAGGGGTGAATGATCAGCAAGCATTTCCCAACCCTAAGGGTTGTAAAGGGATGTATGATCAACAAGCATTCCCAACCATAAGGATTGTAAAGGGGTGAATGATCAACAAGCATTTCCCAACCCTAAGGGTTGTAAAGGGATGAATGATCAGCAAGCATTCCCAACCATAAGGATTGTAAAGGGGTGAATGATCAACAAGCATTTCCCAACCCTAAGGGTTGTAAAGGGGTGAATGATCAGCAAGCATTCCCCAACCCCAAGGGTTGTAAAGGGATGTATGATCAGCAAGCATTTCCCAACCCCAAGGGTTTTAAGGGGTGTATGATCAACAAGCATTTCCCAACTCCAAGGGTTGTAAAGGGATGTATGATCAGCAAGCATTCCCAACTCCAAGGGTTGTAAAGGGGTGTATGATCAGCAAGCATTTCCCAATTCCAAGGGTTGTAAAGGGATGTATGATCAGCAAGCATTCCCAACTCCAAGGGTCATAAAGGGATGTATGATCAGCAAGCATTTCCCAACTCCAAGGGTTGTAAAGGTATGTATGATCAGCAAGCATTCCCCAACCCCAAGGGTTGAAAAGGGGTGTATGATCAGCAAACATTTCCCAACCACAAAGGTTGTAAAGGGTGTATGATCAGCAAGCATTCCCAACTCCAAGGGTCATAAAGGGATCTATGATCAGCAAGCATTCCCCAACCCTAAGGGTTGTAAAGGGGTGAATGATCAGCAAGCATTCCCCAACCCTAAGGGTTGTAAAGGGATGTATGATCAGCAAGCATTTCCCAACCCTAAGGGTTGTAAGGGGGAGAATGATCAGCAAGCATTCCCCAACCCTAAGGGTTGTAAAGGGATGTATGATCAGCAAGCATTCCCCAACCCTAAGGGTTGTAAAGGGGTGAATGATCAGCAAGCATTCCCCAACCCTAAGGGTTGTAAAGGGGTGAATGATCAGCAAGCATTCCCCAACCCTAAGGGTGCTAATACTCTTACTCAAAGATCAGTTTTAAAACAAAAGAGGATAGCTTTAAAATATTACAGAAAACAAGCTGAATTCATTGCAAAATCCCCTTACGCATTTGAAAACCCCTTACCCATTTAAACAAACATGCAGCCTAATCCAATACAAGCCAACCCCTTCATTAATGTCTAGCTTTTCCCAGTGTGTTAACACGGCCTGCTGCCGAGAATCGACCGATTAGCATAGAACAGCTCAAGCATTAGTCGACAGATTAGTCTGGCTGGCTGCTCAAAAGTCGGCGAATTAGGCCGTAATCTGTAAATTATCCTTGTTTTAAATATAGAAAGAGACCATGTTATGTCAGATAAGCAATTTCAAATTAAGTGAATGTATGGGGAATTGTTTGACATTGAAGGAACTTTGAAAATAACATACCTGTAATGTAAAGATCTTTACAAAGTATATACACAAAACAACCGACCTGACTAATCCATGAGACCTGGGTGCCGTTCCACTAACCGATCTTATCTAAGATCAATCTTAGCAAGTTACGCCAATTTTACAATCGCCTTAGCTAAAAGTTACACCCGTTCCACTAACCGATCTTAGGCCGATCGTAGCCGGTCCCGATCTTACGATCCGATCCAAGCTTAGATCGAGACTCTTTCGTGCGAGAGATAGAGGAATGCGAGGCACGCGTTATCTCCCTTTGCATAGTCTAGCAAATGATAGAAAGTAGTTTACGAACCATCTGAGTGAGCGAGTGAGTTTAGATTTACGCCGCACTCAGCAATAGTCCAGCTATATGGCGGCGGTCTGTAAATAATCTAGCTAAGATGCATAGCGTTCAACAACATGGCGTTCATGTTAGTGAACGCTATGTATCTTAGCTATAAATAATCGAGTCTGGACCAAACAATCCAGTGATCAACAGCATGCGCATCGATCTGCGCAGTTGGGAACCGATGACATGTGTCAACCAAGTCAGCGAGCCTGACCACCCGATCCGATAGTGGCCTCTTACGACAGGCATGGGTTATTGAAGTTCAATATTCTAACACGGTCCTTCATGGGTATTTTTCTAACCAAGTGTAAACGTGGAGAAAAACCCAGAGCAAAAATATTAGGGTACTGAGCACCTTGGTTTCAGGTGCAAGTGCGTGAGAACGCTGGGTATCAAGCATAATATAATAATAATAATTGCATATTTATAGTGCCTATTCCACATCAGTGGGCATGCTCAAAGCGCTGTGTACAGATCTATAATTTTACGAGAATATTTACAGCCGAGATTATAAGTATCATACTGAGAACAGGTTTTAAGTCTGTCAATTGTGTCAGAGCTTTTAATATGTGCCTGAACCTTGTCAATCAGAATAAACAAGGCGTGACGAGGCTATATACAACGTATGTAGAATCTGTCAGTGGTCTTGAATAACACGCGGCCTGCCTTTAGAATCCCCCACCAATAATGCGCAGTGAAATCATACATATTTGTATCTTTTTGCTTCAGAACATTGTTCACTTCACGGCTGTCCCTATTCTTAACCATGACGTTGCAATATTGTTGTACAAATGTGTTACACCGACTTCGCTTCGGTTGTGTTCCCATGACGACAGTGGTCAGACTGGCCTGACATTTGTAAGGCTTGTTCAGCTTAGTGTTTGTTTACATCACAGAAATATACAAATTCATTTCATGGGGGACTTTAGGGGACGCTCACGGTGAAATGCTCGCTCTTATTTTTCACATAGAATAGGAAAGCCACCATTTTGGTTTCTCTACGATTGATTTTAGCTACCCTAAGTTGGTCATGAGCAACTTAGACTTTGAATCTTAACTTTACGATTGACTTAGGTAAGATTGGTTAGTGGAACGGTATGCCGATCGTAACGTCACACTAAGATTGGGATTTTAGGGGTTTACGATTGGCATAGGGCTAAGATCGGTTAGTGGAACGGCACCCTGTACAAGGATTGGATGATCCTGATATAAAGTAAATCCAGTATCCTAAATGAATAACACATTACCATCTCTTGTCCCGAAAATAAATATTCCATTGGTCATATACACTGGACAAAAAAGAAAATTCTGTTTAGAATGCAGGAATGTTTAGCATCTTTAAATGAATGCAGACGATGCTGCACCAAGAAAACCGAGATATATATTATTTAATCTGGCTTTTATCAGATACCGATATGGTATATGGTCTCTGCTTGTATACATCTGCTCATTCATGCTAAATTTTTATGGTTAATGCAGTTTAAATTATATGTGTCTATGCCTAGCTATAGTCTTGCTTGAGCTATTCTGTTGACAGAGAAACCTTATATGCTAATAGTTTATAGCAAAGTACATATGATAGACTTGTCACAATAAACTTGAGTCGTTCATACAGGAGGGTATTCTGTCCAGATCACTTCCTTTGCAGGAATCGGACTGCTGTTTGTAAGTGAATGACTATTTGGAAGGGGACGGAGGTGGGTGGGAGTGGCAGGGCGAAGAGGCGGGTGTGAGAGGCCTACCCGGATATAATATTAATAAGTACAAGGATCGACCTGTTTCGGTCAGATGCATACTGCAGTACACTGTAATCTATATATCAGTAAAGCGAGATCTCTTTCGGGAATCTGTTGCCGTGGTTGTTGGGTGATTGGTTAATGAGCAACCTTGCCAACCCGACTTACTGTTATAAAATACATTTAAAAACATCTCACCACGCTTGTAGTAGTATATCACACTGACGAACGGCTTATGTTGAAGAGACGAATGTGAATCAGGTGTCAAAATCTCAACATTCTTGAAGTCAAATGGAATTGAAGGTTCCGCATATACAAATGCTATGCTAAGTCCCAGGACAATGTTCCAGATGCTGCCAAAGCTGAATTTTAACGCCATGCCGAGCAGTACACTGATCAACTTCCCACACCGATCTCCCACTACCCGACTGTAAACACACTGTCAAGCAAAGCACATTGACACTGCTTCCGGCGGCAGATTGACCAATCGGAACGCCTCGTCTGTACCTTACCTATATAATGCTCCAATGAGCTTCTACCGGATTCAATCGATCATTTGGCGAATGTACATTTGCATAATACATTCTCGCGGGCATGTAAATAATCAATAAAGATAAAAATGCGTCCGATAAAAGCAATATGGGTTGCGTCTAATCTGAGATATGTTAGAAAACGTGCAAATGGACGTTATTCTTTGGTGCATTATATGAAAAGACCCAAGAAGAATGAAGACAAATATGTGATATGTTTGGTAAATCAATTCAATTACAATGATTAAAGGGTTCATTAATGAGATCACGACCAGATTTATGAATATTCTGAACTACTTCATCAACGATCTCATACAAGCATGAGAATTAAGTCAATTTGACATTCATATGTCACTGAGACCAAAAATAGCCATTCTTTATAGGCTGAAAATATATATCAATCTTGAGGTGTATAACGTCAATCTAACGTCAGTTTATCTGAATATCGTTCTGTTTTCAACTGTTATTTGTTTTAGATTATTGCTCTTCATAAGTACATTTAATTCATGTAAGTCTGTTTATGTGTTGGTCTATAATGAAACCATATATGGTAAGCCAAATAATTATTTTGAAAAAATATAATTAAGTCAGTAAGAAAACTGCCATATATTTCTTTTTATGTGCAGGAGAACTTATTCTCCAACTTAAAACAAAGTCAACAATATGTTACATTTGATCTAATCGACTGTAATTGAAGACACATGCTATATTTTGGATTACACTTTGTTAGTAAACTACTGATTCGAGTACTTTTGTTTGGTTGAGCCCAATCCGGGATTCGAACCCACACCCTCAGAGTCAGGCACCTAAAATCGTCAACACACAAAGTCGTCTAACCCACTCACCCACGCAGCTTCCACCAAATGGCATTGTGTATTCATGGTATTGTAGAATACCCTACTAATTTAGCCTTTCAAAACTACAAGAGGTCTAAAATAATCGCTCGTTGCTCGGCAACTTCGTCTTATTTTTTCGACTTTTTTTCCAGTAAACTTCAAATCGCCTCCTTTTCATTTTTCAGCTTTTGAAAATCGTATTTTGCAGTATTCGGGTTTCTGGGATAAGCAATAAAACTCCAGGTGAAAACATAGAATGTATTAGCGCTTCTGTGGATGGGGGTAGAGTGTGTGGTTCGTACTACTGACTGCGCCGACATTCACTCACTCATTCAGTCCACGTGCATGAAGAGTGAATATATGTCATCGAGCTGATTGTGGTTGTCACGGTATTCACCATAACGGGAGTCGATTACTGTGAAAACAAACAAAGGACAACTTGTGACAAATGGGACTAAACAGTCCAGGAATATAGATTTGTTGGCTCATATATCAATCCTGACGCCATGCAATAGCTGGTTATTGTCGAAATATACACAAAGAACTGACATATCTCACGATTGACTGGGCCCCGATCTTAACCCTTTGGAGTATATCGAGAACATGATCATGGTCACTTCTTTGAGTGGCATTTTAGAAGTTGGGAAGTACAATATAGAACAAACTTTATGGATAACAACTTATTTTATTCGTGAGTGCGACGTTTCGATACAGATTCTTGTACCGTTGTCAAGCACCGTTGTACAAGAATCTGTATCGAAACGTCGCACTCACGAATAAAAGAAGTTGTTATCCATAAAGTTTGTTCTATAATGATCATGGTCGTCGTGTGCAACAAAGGGATCCTCCTGTATAAAACCTGGCCCAATTGGAAGCTGCTTTACACAAGGAATGGAGGATCAGGAGGCTGACAGGGGAAATGAGGAGGAGAGGAAAGTGCTGGCTGTCGGTATTGACCTTGAATTGTGTAAGACACGCAAAATGACATATTCATATTCACCAATACATTCAACATTAAACATTCCAGGGCCATTTCGTTTTTATGAGTCAAGGGATCATATGGGTCAGAAAAACCCAAGTTGTTCCATCGTGGTCACCACGATAAGTTTTATGTACCTGTTGAAAACCCATCATTACAAAAATACAGGGGGTGCTTAAATGTGCCTCTCTCTCTCTCTCTCTCTCTCTCTCTCTCTCTCTCTCTCTCTCTCTGTGTGTGTGTGTGTGTGTGTGTGTGAAGACTTGTATTTCCAGCATCTTAACCCTGCTCACAGTCTCCTATATATATGATACCATCCATTCTGAAGTTAAAATAATGCTTCTTCTTTCCATGTAACTTGAACTGCTGCTTTTGGCAGCCAAGGGTTCTGTGTTAGTTGAATATGTCGATCTCCAGCAGTGACAACATGAACAGAATGAACAGCCGTTACAACATTTACACACGGGGCCTGGTCCATAGTGTCATCCGTCTCGCAAGATCGGTGAAATAAACTGCCGTTCACACGGAAGGATACACTAAACTTCGATTTAACCAGCTAATTATAAAACACTACAAGGCTGAACCCCGTCACGGAAACACTGCCAACATATGGTCTAAAAACATCAATGATACTCGTATCAAATACACCTCTGTCGAATAAACACTTGTTTGTTTCATTTCCAGCCACTGTCAAACACGGGCGGATACCGATTAGATAGTTTAGTTATATATGAAGTCAAGGTAGACCATACTTCAGACACTTTGTACCAATTGGCCAGTGTTCTGTAATCAGTGCCATGAATAAGAATTAGACGATTTGTTAACATCGTAGTTACCGTGTGTGTAAAAGGTGCACGAGTAGCCTGTGTTTGTTGTTTATCGCTGCACTCAGCAATTTTCCAGCTATATGACGACGGCCTATATGAATAACACCATGAAGTGATTCACATCATGAGCATCGATCTACGCTAGTGGGATACGGCGACATGCATCGACCAAGTCAGCGAGAATGACAACCCGATCCTGTTAGTCGCCTCTTACGACAAGCATGGGTTACTGAAGACCAATGCTAACCCGGAGCTTCATGGGTCAGTTGGCGATGTGGAAACTGATTTTACAGTATTGAACCAAACTTTTGTGTGTCTACCATAGTAGTAGAGCACAGACTTCTGTAACAATTTAGAGGCATAAGCTAATAAGCATGTTGTCCTACACATAACAATTACCTACAAAGCACACATCTCTTATCTGACGAGTCTGTAGCTACAACATTTGCCAGCCAAATTCATGTTTTGTAATGGTTACTTGAGGGCCATGAAAGTGCTGTATCAATAAAAGGTGGACACCCGATACACACGTCTAAACCACTGCAGCGTGGATGTACTGTATATGTTACTATCGCTAAAACGTCTTTTTAGAATCAACGATCAAAATATACTCCCCATCAAAGGTTTAGCCTCACTACTGTAAATGTAGCCACTTCCCTGATAGCAATGTTCGTTGGGCCAACATTGGCCAACGTAGGCCCAATGATGGCCAATGTTGGTCCAACATTGGCCCAACGGACATTGCTATCTGGGTTACTTCAGTCAACTGATCTTAAGTAGATTTTGCAAAATATTCCATACAGTTTAAGGGTACTGTTTACACATGAACTGATGTATTGTAAAACAAATTCGTAACGTTGAAAAGATTATTGTCATGAGTTCAATAAATGATGAAACTCAGTGAAAATTGGCGAATTCTTAGCGAAATTTTACACCAAAACGCAGCTGTTCACATGCACGATATTTGCACATGCTTTTCAGCAATTGATGCATGATCCTCGTGCAATTAATCTCCATAAGGTTTGCAGTTGGTTCCCCCACGTTAGTGGAGAAATTCATCTTCGATGTAACCAAATATATATACATAACATATCGTGAGTGCTTTAAGTGAGTCTAAACTTTTGACGGGTAGTATAGATGGGTTAGGCAATAATGAAGGTGGGGCTGTTGTGGTAGTGATGACAAAGCTGTTAAAACCATGATAATTTAGAATTATTTAACCCATTTAGCTGATCCATGGTAATTTCCACTCAATGAAGATTTGTTTCTCAATGAGTGTCAATGAATACTGTAACTACAGCTCGTTTGTAACTAATACAGTTGCGACTTTGTGTGTAGTACATTGTGAGGTGAGGTGACGTGAAATTGGGTTTAACGTCGTGCTTGAGAATATTTCGCTCATATGACGACGTGCATGCCCGTGTATGTGTATGTGCGGCTGCTTGTACTAGCCCAGACTGAAGCTGGTTTTATAGTGCTAGCCCACTGAGATACCATGCCCCAGTGAAGCATGAACACCCCACTCAGACACATTATACTGACCAGTCCTTGTTGTACCCATTAATGCCGAGCGCCAGGCAGGGACCAACAAGTGCCATATTTTAACGTCTTTTGGTATGACGCGATCGGGGATCGAACCCGCGACCTTCCGCTCTCCGGGCGGACGCTCTAACAACTACACCACGGAGGCGGTCAGTACATTGTGAATTGATTCAATTTGAACAGAACCTGTCACTTCACTGAACCTTTCTAGCAGTACACGCAATTACGTCAAATATTTAAAAATCGAGATTCTGACAAATGGTCAAAGGCAAAGTCATAATGCTTGTTTAAACTTAGGAACCACTTCAACATGTTCAATAAACCTTATTACCTGAGTGTACGTAAGGAAACTTCTTGTACAAACGTGAGTATTTTACGACCGCTTCTTGTTATGTTCCTATTGCCTGAAGCGGGCGTAAAATACACATTAAACCGAAAGTTATAAAATCTAAGATTGGATTTACACTTTTCAGGAATATAAACTAATAGACTAGCCAAAGTTACCGTGAAATAGGACAGACATGATCACTGACCAATATGAGATTTAGTGTTCTCATGTTAGAAGCTAAGTTTTAGAGCAGTTAAAGAACGAGAAGTAAATGTGTCATTCCAAATATCCTCACACCATATCTACTGATGTGACAAACTTGAGCATCGATCCTGGACTTATATATACTAGTCACATAAAGAAACTGTGCATACAAAAATTTAAAATCTAAATTTATCAAACCTGTGTAGACACATAAGGATTTAAACTCAGAGATTAGTGACATGTATCCAACATGCTTGCACGTGCCACGTTCCGTGACGTCAGTGGGTTCGTCCTTGAGACGTGCAATACGTTGTTGCACGTGCATTCCGGGAAAGAGAAACAGAGCAAATGAATGCCACACAATACTGTCACTTTGGAAAGCTCAACCCCTGCCCTTGCGATCGTTAAAAAAATTAAACGGCTATTGAAACGCACAGCATGCCAATGCTCACGTCTGCACAACCTCATGCGGCCATTGGGATGGTCCGTGGGGGGAATGTCTCAACGACAAGTGGCTGCACATTTCCACTGCCACCGGAACACCATTTCTGCACTGGTGAGACGCTACCAGAACACAAATGACGTCATCGATCGGCCACTTCTGGACGTCCACGTGTAACAACGCCAAGACAGGACAGATGGATAAGGGTGACCCATCTTCGCCACAGGTTTCAGACTGCAGTGATGATTGCCCAAACCATCCCAGGACTTCGCCGTATCCACCCCAACACAGTTCGACAACGTTTACGTCATCACGGGATCAGACCACGACGTCCCGCCATACGGCCTTTCCTGACACAACATCATCGACAAGCTCGCCGAATGTGGTGCCGAAATCATGTCCGCAGACACTTGTTTTGGTGGAGAAATGCACAGGCCTGTGTCTTGGAGAGGAATCGCTTTGGTGGTGGTTCCGTGATGATTTGGGGTGGATTAACAGCACGCCAAAGAACTCTTTTGGTGATTGTTCAGGGCAACTGAACTGGTGTGGGCTACAGGGATCAGATTCTTCGACCTGTGGCAATTCCTTATCTGCAACGTCATGGCCCTGGGTTAACATTCCAACAGGACAATGCCCGCCCTCATACGGCAAGGGTTGCTATGTATTTCTTGCAACACCACAACGTTGACTTACTGCCTTGGCCTGCAAATTCACCGGATCTCTCCCCGATAGAGCATGTTTGGGACGAGATGGATGGCCAGATAACGTCCTTGACCTTGCAACAGAACTTCAGAGGATCTGGCGTGACATCCCACAAGCCTTCCTTGCACGTTTGATAGGCTCTATGCGTCGTCGATGCACTGCTGTTCTCAATGCCGATGGTGGACATACCCGTTCTTGAGCTTGTGACATGGTCGTTTGACCCCTGTCCCCTATGTTGTGGACTCGTGACGTCATTGTGATTGACTTTTCAATTGAAATTCTCCCGACTTGTTATGGTCTCATGATCCCTCCATTAAAGTTTATATGTACCTTTGACATTGTTATCGTACTTATCAACTGGGATAATATTTTGACAATGCACAGTTTCTTTATGTGGCTAGTATAGTTTCACACATGCACTTATAACGAACTGGCGGTCATTTATTATGTCATCTACAACCTCACCATGCCAGAGAGCAGAGAGTGAAAAATGTATTGTTTAATTGTTACTTATATATAGGTAACAATAATTTAATGAATACATTTTCACTCATTGTGTGACATATTTTATGAACTTTTCAAATTTAGATCATATCTTCATAATCTCTAACTTGAATTGTGACTGAGTCACTTTGCTTTGGAATTTATTTTTTTATTAATGTAGATGAAGAATGGTCAAGTTGACTTGAGGTTTATGAATGCAAGTGTACAAGAATCACATCCTATCACAGAAAAACATAGGAAATCCTTATGGCCTGAATATATCATTTGTTATATGGCTTTTGATTTGCACACAGAAAAGTCATGATATGATAGGGTAACTGATGTCCGTCCCTTTGGGGATTCCAGGTTCTCGGTGTATGGTTGTAAGTGGAGACTGAATGGCCTGGGACCTTGATGGCGAAATCATTTAGTAGTTTGTTTTGATGAAGACTTGAATATCTAAAGGAACTTGGAATATTGCTCACTACAGGTTAAATGAGATTATTTTTTTTATAATCAATTTTCTTAACAGCTTGTGTGTTTGTTTTCTAGTCAGTAGAATCTAAGCTGAAAAAAAATGTGTCCTTTCACAACTCTGGTGTTAATTGTGTTAGCTGGTAATATATACAACAAATACAACAAATTCTGTTTACCTGTAGGAATACCTTTATACAAAAGGATAAACATGACAAATATATCTCAGCACTTGTTAAACCTCTCATTAAATCATTTGGGATACAGCCTTTCAATACATCTTTCTTACTCAAAAGATGTGAAGCACCACTTGATTTCTTTCTGTAGTTCACTTGTCATGCCATGACAAAGTAAGTATGGAAATATTTAAGAATCGTGAGCCATGACAAATTAACTACAGTAATAAGAAAACTTTGCTTGACCATAAAGGTCTTTTTGAGTATTACATACACAAGATAAATAATGATCTTCACATTTGCATTCGATGAAGTGGTGTCTTTAAAATTACAATACTGTGGTTGGTGTTGACAAACTGTTGAGTCTTCGATCTTATTACTGCAGTTCCAGATTTTTAAGAGTACTCTATAAGAATGAATAAGCATCCATATGTTTATGTCATATAAGATATTCCCTTTAAACGGCAGTGTTTCATGCATAAAAACAACAATGAACAAAGTACATGCAGGAAAAACACCGTTGCATGTTCAACTCATCTACATCATGGTCAACAGACAACAAATTACAACCAACCACTGTGCCACGCCTGGTATCAGCTGCATGCAGAGATGCCAACCCTAATTTAGCCCAAATAGTATTTTGGCCCAAAACTGGTGCAAAAAATTAGTATTTTTTGGCCAAAAGTATAATTAGTATTAACTTTTCCAAAGACTATTCATATTAAATATAATATGTAAATATATTGTCTAAGACCTTGTTATTGACATTGTACTCACCTAAATCAGTAATAAGTATCCATATATAGCTTGATATTAAATAAAATGTGATTGAAATTTATTGCGTATGCTGTTTGATAATATAATTTAATATTTTTAAAAATTTGTATATTTTTACTGCTATCGAAGTCACGTATTTTGTGTTGTTTTTTCGTAGCGAATACTATAAAATCACATGGGTTGGCATCTCTATACATGTGTCCAAGGTGTATGTGTCTCAGTGTGTGTCACCTTGCTCTAGGTAGCAACATAACAGTGAGTTTAGTTTTACGTCAATTTTAGCAACGTTCCAGCATTATCACGGCGGGGCACTCGAGACATAGGCTTCACACATTGTACCCATGTCGCAAATCGAACCCGGGGCCTTTGGCGTGATGAGTGAACGCTTTAACCACTACCCAAACGCCCAGCAACATAACAGATATCAACATTTATGGTCAACCAAACCACTGTGCGGCAATACTGAGAAAACACTGTATGGCAATACTGTGACAATATGTGGCAAACGGTACACAGCTAATTACAACTGCTAAGTCATGTTGCAAAAACCTCGACTGTTCTTATCAGATTAAACTACGTGAAATGTGCCTCCAAAAATAAAAATGACTTGGTGTAATAATATAACAATATTTGCATATGCTGATATGTATCATATTGCACCATTTATTTTAAATTCTTTTTAGGCATTATGTAGACAATATGCTAGTCTAGGATGTCAATGATAGCAAACCTTTTGGAAAATTTTCAAATGAATGTGTTTCGAGTTGCCAGTAACAGTTTTCATATGTTTTTTCCCATATAAAAAATACCTATATTTGAATACTGAAATTGGGAAAATATTGATGAAATAAGATATAATTTTAAAAGTAAAAGCTGTTAGCAAAGCTCCTGAGAGGCCAGTGATTTCTAAGCGTCCAAACTCTTGTCAGCTGCATGAAATCGTTGGAAATTTGTCAAACTCTTCAAATACCCATTGTCTAGAGTGTTACATATTATTATAAAAGCAACTGTCTACATCCCTTAACAAAACAACCTGGTGTCTACAATACAATAGGCTACTGCTGCATGGTATATACATGCCTGGTAGATTGTTTCAGCAGTATATTTTGACAGACTCTGATAACACAGATTCCATGAGGCACTGGTCATGGAAGGGAGATAACTCTAAAGAAGACCCTCTTCAAGGTACCTTTGTATGATAAACTCCACCATATTACACTAATCCATTTTTAGGGCTGAAGTACCCTTGGCGTTCTTTGGATACACTCAAAGGAAAGAAGAATATCATTAAAAGAAGTCTTATTTGTATTATTCCCCAGGGACATGTTAAATGGTAACATTAAAGAACAAGCTGTTACATATGATGGAAAGGTAAATGGATGTTTCTTCCTCGATACTCCACTGTATTATTCATATATCTAAATCAGTACTTTGAATCATGGAGTCCAGCTGGAATGACATGTCACTTAAAATAGCCGTCAATAAACCTAAAAGGTTTGATAGTGGACTTCTGCCAAACCCTTTTCAAGAAGTCATATTGGCTGGTTAATGATATCAAGCTCATGAATGAGAGAAATTCTGTTCTGTGTCAGTGACAAATAAGAAGATTATGATGTTACAGCCGAAGCAGACCTATGGTGGAGAAAGGTCCAGGGTATGTATCAAACAATAATGGTAACATTCTACACTGTATCAGAGGACGTGGAAGTTCACAAATCAGCAGATTCACATTCTATGCATACTGGTCAGATTCACGGACTGCTGTTGGTTCGATACAGATAGCAGAGGGTATGTTTCTGGCCAGTCCCATCAGCGTCTTCTGACATTCCCGGTGCATGTGGGTGAGTTGAGTTCGCATGTCCTGGATCTGATGTGTCAGGTCTTCCGTCACTCCGGCAATATCTGTGCAACAACTGTCCCCACCCTCACCGGGGGAATGAAGTACATTTGCCACGTTGGCCTGACCCCGGAAGCGCGTTTTACTTGCCAGTCTGAAGGATGGTTCTGGATTCAGTGTTCCGGCTATGTCATGTGCAGCAGTGAGCATGAGGTTAGCTTTGTGGACTGATATGTCCATGTTGATTGATGCTATTAAGTTGTCCAGCTCATGGTTGCTGATTTCCTGTCTCTGCAAAAAGAACAATACAGGATATGTAACATTATTGTACATTTCCTTATGTAAAGTACAAATTTCTTGTATTTTTTGTGAAGTCCAATCACTGATTCAAACACACATTCACAGAATAAGGCACCTCATCATCAGCACACACCGTTAAAACAAAGCATACAGCAAAAAGAATGCATAAAGAGAAAGCTAAGGAAAAACGTACTGATTGTTTTTTGGAATTACTATTAATACTCTGGCAAAATACAGATGCATCTCGTAACTAGTATCTGACTTGTAACCTTCTATCATTTGGCTCTGAACAACACAGGCTATACTGAAAAACTAGGCACTGATATCTTAAAATCAGAGAGAATCGAACCTAAACGTACAACTACCTTTGTATCCCACAGCTGTTCCAGGTTCTGTATGCTGCTCTCATAGCTGAGGATGGACTGTACTAGCTGCTGTCTAGCCAGCTGCATCTGTACAGGTCCATCAAGTGGAGTCTGAAGATAAACAGCACCAGACCGAGCCTCACTATGGTCTCGGTCTTCTGCTGCAGCCTTCACCTTCAGGTCAAGGACACTGTCCTGGAAGTAAGGAATTACTATAATGTGAAAAACATTGACATGGGTTCACAAGAATGTATTTGGTACCTACATCTATGGAAATCATTCCCATGAGTTAAAAACAAAACAAATGATTGCTTTTAAAAGATTACTTGTGAGCAATGCCAGCTTACCATCCACTTCCAAAATATGTCTTCATGTTGTCGCCAGTTCATCAGGTTCTGGAGGCGCTCATTGTCCTTATCAAGTAGCACCAGCATCTAAATATGATAAAACACAAGCAGGATATGTAATTGAATTATCATGCAGATGAAATTCTCACAAGGGCAAGGTTTCTCAAGGATTCCCATTTTTATTCAAAAGGGAAATCTTTATTTGTCTTTGACAAATGCACATCAGTGCATATGTGTGTACGTGTGTGTTGATGATGAGAGAGAGAGAGAGAGTGTGAGGGGGTAGGGTGTGTGTTAATGATTTTTAAGGGAGTGTGCCACCCATTTTGTTCTGGGTAGGTGTGTGTGTGAGAGAGAGTGAGATTCACATTGTACATGCTTCTCCACAAACATCATCATCACCCCCTAGCAATAAATTATTAACGGTTCCTAAGATTAGAAAACCATCAACATAATGTTATGTTTTATTTAAATAAACAATAGCAATCCATTACTCGTTTCAGCAGATGTGGGTGCCTCAGCAAATGGACTTCTAACACCGATAAATTGTCACGGTTCTTTCGGAGTGATATCCCTGTGGTGGTGTTTTCAATCTGAAATGAAAGTTACAAATATTTCAGTCGCTGTGTCAGCTATTGGTGCAGACTCTTATGTATGCGTTAAGGGTGATATCCCAAAGCTTGCTATAATATGTTAAAGATCTTTCATAACAATGGAAAGATAAATTGGGTAACTGGACTTCGCAGACTTTTATTTTCAACAGGATTTTCCTATGTCTGGATTGCACAGGATTTGATGATCATAAAATATTTATGAGTATGTTTTCCCAAAGATGTGTAGACATTCAATTTCAAGAATGGCATGATAAGCTGTCAGGTCGGAGTGATTATCATTTTAATCTAACTTTAAATCTCTGTTAGATACAGAGAAATATGTAATAACATTGTTCAGTAACAAAGATTTACTCTGTATATACTACACACTACGTTTCCAGTCTAATAAGGTAAAAGTGAGTAAATTGAGATAATGACATTGAATGTACTCAATGTATTTGTTTTAAATGTAACATGAATATTATAGAAGATGAATTCCACCTGATATTAGTGTGTCCATGTTATGAAGATTTGAGGGAGCAGCTTATACCCTGTTTCTATCACACATTCCCCTCTAAGAATAAGTTATACAAACTCTTGTCACCACAAAATGTGAAACATGTAAAAACCTTGCTATATTCCATAAGAGAAACCTACTTACTTAATTATGTATCCAAAACTTTTGTATGCGCAACGCAACCATTATTCTGTATATGTATGTGCTCTTGGCCTTGAGGCCTCTACACAGAATAAACTTGTCACTTGAAAGTTATAAATTTGAACTACTGTGTAACCTTTATCAGGTTTATCAACATATATATTGTGATGTTGTCCGTACAAATGGTGCTCATGTAACTGACTTTGAAAATGTGAGGTGAACAAAGTATTTGTGTGACATCAAAATTGAAGTTACATTCAGGAATATTACTGATGTCAAAGAATGATATTTTTAGACTAGTATATTGTGTATACTGAAGCAGAAAATGGTAAAATACTTCCAGTACAAGTAGCAATAACATATTTTTAACTCAAACATAATTTCTTTCATTCTTGCAATTACAAATAATATCACTGATGGTTTTCAACTCATCCATTCTAAAATGAAATAGTAAATTAAAACAAACCTTGTTTAGAAGCTTAGCCTCATGTTGCTGAGCTGCGTACATTCGCCGCAGGTTGAGTCGTAGTTTACTATTCAGCACTAGTAGCCTCTGTACTCTCTCACCAGCTGGGGCAGCTGAATCTCCCTTGGCAGTAGGGCCCAAATCACAAGCAGAATTAGGCCACTCCTACAAACACACAGTGCATGCTTATGTACATGGTAAGAATCTACCTTGATCACAAACTACGCAAAAGTTGTCTGTGTGTGTTTGTGTGCATGAGCATGCGCACCTCTGTGTGTGTACATGTGTTAACTGAGGGTTTAATGTCTCCAAGGACATCATCTGATGGAAATCTGCTTTGCATGTGGAGAAAATCTGTAAGTCTGATTTTCCTCACCTTACACCACTGTGAGATGTTTTCATCCAAAGGAGACGTACACTTGTCCATGAACCTCTCAATCAATGTCTCTTTACACACCAGCCATGCCATAGCCAGCAATAGTTCGCGACTTCCCCCTTGAGGCATCATTTGGCAAGTGAGCAAAGTCATGTGACATGTAACCACGACTTTGTAGTTCTCGCTTGACAAGGACACACTTCTCCTCTGTGAAGAAAGCAGTCAATGTACACATAAAGAATTGTTATACAATTGTAGAAACTGTGTGGACTTTGTTTATAGTGATTATAAGTGGTTGCAAATGACTGAATTGTGACAAGAGGGCAATTTGAATCCTTTCCAACCTGATTTGTTTGTTATCAATTTACCAAGTGAGGATTAGATCCCTTTTTGTAAACATCTGATTCTATACCACTTTTCAATTCAAGAACAGAGAAGGCCTGTTTCAAGACATTCGACTATGACATAATTTTGTCTGTAACAGATCATGAACCAGTGGTTGATTGTACCAAGAAATGAAGTATGCAGCTGAGCATGACCATATTCCAGTTCAAACAGTTTGGAATCTATTGCTCTACTGATCATGTTTTCACCTTAAATGCAATAATTCAGAAATGCTTATCAAGAAAAAAAGAAGAAATTGTATGTTGCCTTCGTAGATTTTAAGAAAGCTTTTGATTCCGTCTCACGATATAAACTTTGGTACTGTCTTCACAACTCTGGATTAAATGGCAAAATGTTGGCTGCAATAAAAAGTATATATGTATCTGTTACAGCATGTGTAAGATGCAATGATAATGTTTATACAGATTATTTTGATTGCCCAGTCGGTCTAAGACAAGGGTGTATTTTAAGTCCACTTTTTTTTCATTTTTATTGGTGAACTGTGTACTGATATTGTAGAAAGTGGTAAATTTGGTGTACAGCTGTTCCCTGATTTTTAGAGATATTGCTATTACTTTTGCAGATGATGTCATTCTCATATCTGACGTTGCTTCGGGACTACAAAAACAATTGAATATCTTAGAATCATATTCTGATAAATGGGGACTTGACGTTAACCTCAATAAAACCAATATTGTTGTTTTAGAAGGGTGGGCGATTATCAGCTAAAGAAAAATGGTATTATAAAGACTCTGTTATTGACGCTTGTGAATTCATATAGATATCTTGGTATTATATTTTCATCCACGCTTAAAATGAATAAATGTACAGACGATCTAGCACTGAGAGGAAAAAGAGCATTGTTACAAATACTATATAACTTACTTAAAGATTGATGTGGTTGATCCTAGGGTATTCTTTAAAATATCTGATTCACAAATTCAACCAATTTTACTTTATGGTATGGAGGTATGGGGATTAGCCGCTATGAGAATATTGAAAAAGTTCATTTGCTTGCATGTAAGAGATTTCTAAATGTAGGATTACAAACGCCTAATGTTATAATATATGGTGAATGTGGACTATATCCTTTGTATATAAATGCCTTATGTCGAAGTTATTAAATATTGGCTAAAGCTTACAGAAATGCACTCTGGTAGAATACCAAAACATCATATGACATGTCAGTATATTTAGATAACATTGGGCAAAATAATTATGCTTCTCATATTCAGAACATACTTTTTTTTCACATGGATTTGGCTTTGTATGGTTAGCACAAAGTGTAGGCAATAAGGTTGATTTTCTTAGATGTTTTAAAGATGTATGTGTAAATATGTTCTACCAATCTTGGCATTGTACTCGACAACAGTTCACGCTACAATTTGTATAGAGAATGTAAGTGTTTACTAGAACCGAAAAATATTTAAGTGTTATACATGAAAACAAATATCGTAATATTCTTATAAAATCTCGAAAGCAGGCCTATTACGATTAAAAATAAATGAAGGAAGATGGTTAAATATTGATGTATCTCAACGCACATTACGTCCTGTCTGTACACCTCGTATAGAGGATGAATTCCATTTTCTTTTAGTATGCAAATATTATTCTGAAGAAAGATTCTATTATTTTCCACATATTTACAACCGCATTCCAAATATATTTATATTCAAAAACCTGCTAACTTCTCCTTCAAATGAAGCATTATTAAATCTATGCAAATTCATATATACTGCTTATAAAAGAGACAGACTTTGTTAAACTCTTAATTGTTTTACATCATGTTGCCAATATATTTTGATTGTACATATGTTATATGTATATGGGCCGGTGGCCTTCATGCATAATAATAAAGATCTTTGACTTTTGCTCTATGCTATCACCCTTTGGGACAGGAGATATTGTGGATAATTCCATTCCCAGACACACTGTTGGACCATCATGTCTACCACATTCAGCATGCCATTTTCTTCTCACATTAACGTTCTGGTATAATCCTAAAACAAGCATGGAATACAATCATATGAAGTGTGTATTTCTCAGCTGTAGAAAACATGAAAAAGGAAAACATAGCAATCGTCATGTTCATAACGTATGACCTCACCGTCTGAAAGCTGCCTCTGGGCCTTGACAGCAGAGTCGTCAACTACTCCATAATTGCTGAAGTATACCAGCTCAAACAACAGCTTCCACAAAGCGGGTGTCTGTAACAACGGCATAAGAATCTACATTGAAAAGTTGCCCTGTGCAATAAACAAGGTGTTGTTATCCGTTTACTGCATTTAAAAGGCATGACAGGATACTGTCAGATCATTTATCACAAGTTAAGTAAGATGACAAGACAAACAACACGTTTAATCACAATTACCAAGACTAAACATACATACCGGCCCTAAATAGTACTACATAAAATCGTGTTTAACATCATTATAAATGGGTTATAAGTAAAAGCGATATATATATTTCACAATCGGTGACGTTTTGGGTGTTGTTTCAGTCTGCACCCAGATTTTGAAGCAGGGTTTCCACTAGTCTGTCTCACAGTCCCTGAACCACATTAATTTCCCTACTGCCAAGCCCTCTCTGCAGTGCTAAAGCCCTAAATAAAGCAAGTCTAGATTTCCTCAGGTTCAGGTTCTGAATCTCTGGTCCAACTAGGGCTCCTTTTCAATATAAATGGGCTTGTTTGTTACTATCAAAATTATATATATTCAGAGACTAAGCCTTAGTCTAGGTTTCCGCGAAAATCTCACCGCTTCGTAATTGTTGAACTTTGCCAAGCGAAATGTTTCTGCGGTGACAAGTGATGCTCCATTTTCGTTCAGTATTGTTGATAGCAGTTCTATGGTTTCCCTTACTTGAGTTGACCCAGACATGGTTATTAGGAGGTGTTTGAAAATGGTCACATATTGACTGTGTCTGAACGTTTGTTTACCAGTTATTTAGTACTTCCGGTTACAGAGAGAAGACGCTTTCATAATGCTCTCACAGAATATTACTTAGTACGTGATGTCCTAACACAATATCTCTCCTTGGCTGACTTGCTTTTATCCATAGAACCACAACAAAGTAGAACTCAGTATCAATCAAATGTGGAAATAATGCTTGATAACGTAAAGTCCCTGCTGGGTATCGCACAGGAACCGTTAACGCCAACACCCCGTTATAGCGCGCATGAGATCGCGACTCGTTTCACTCGTCTGTTTCGTTAGAAGGGGAAAGTGTTTATCCACAGACAGTGGTGCTCAAAACTCACTTGTTACGAATATATATGATAAGTTATCGAAATTATCGTCGGGTATACGAAATGCAAATGTTACTTAACGTTATAAACAAAAATATAACAAATAACTGAACAATAACTCACACAAGGAAGAGAGTCTTATGAATGTCAAATAGCTTCTTTATAATGAGGTACACATAACTGACATGATAAAATGTACACGAAAGGCAAACTATATTTACAGTAAAATAATTAAGAGGAATTTACAGGGTAGAACGATTTATTATATGAGCATACACAGCATTTGCATAGAAATATGTCACCTTTCTAACAGATAAGGAAAACTGGGTACTTAATATATATTGACATAGACTGACGACGGGGCTTCTTAGGCTGAACATTAACGAAGGAAGATGGTTAGGGTTAGATTTAAGTTAACGTTTTTGTCTTCTTTGTAATTTGGGGATTGAACATGAATTTTATCATTTTATCTTAATATGTAATTCCTGTAAGAACATCTATACCTGCCTAAAATGTAAACTGGCATAAACCGAATATCTACTCGTATTAGGCTTCTGTCTTCGAACGATGTGGGGTTACTGAGAACATTATGCAAATCTATATCTGAAAGTCATCAAATGAGACACAATTTTATAATTACTGGAATAATTTAAAGTAAAATACGTTCAAAGTCATGCATGATTGTAAAATGCACTTTCTGTATTGGCCAGTCACGTAATCAGTTGTGCAGAATCCTGCAGAAATCTCTATATGATTCAGCTTTTCGTTACAAAAAGTATACATATAGTATACGCGCCCAGCCTGTTATCAATGTTGTCAATTCTTTGCCTATTCTTTCGTTAATGTCTGTCCCTTCCACACATTATAAGGATTCCTCGGTAGGATTTGTGAATTGTTGCCTGTGTTTGTTTATGAAATTGTAACACAAAGAACGAGGCCATTTCAGTTGTGCAGAAGCCTGCAGAAATCTCTATATGATTCAGCTTTTCGTTACAGCGTTCGGCAGGCAAGTCCATATAGTATACGCGCCCAGCCTATTATCAATGTTGTCAAGCTTCGGCATCGTTTCGCGCCGTCGGGATTTAATAACTTTTTCCCTAAAGACCGTGCTTACCCAATAGTTCCAATCACTGGTGGCACAATTTAAATGTGCACTTTGAAAAGCAGAGTGGGTTTGTTGGTTAAAACAATCTCTAAAAGAGGTAAAACAACCTTTCAATGAAAACCGTTGCAGAAAACACTATTGTCAAATACATAAGAGATAGCTTAAAGTGAAGTTATTTTTCTGGAGACTAGTTCACGTCAACATTCAACAGAAAGATCGTCATCATGTTGGTCAGTCGTTGTTTACAATCCCTCTGAAATTGCTGCTTCAAACCGATGTTACAACTACATTAAACTCTTAATATTCGAAATCCTTTTCAAATGTGTTTATGTACTAGTATTGCCCAATATAGATATGATTGAAACACTCCTTTCTATCCGCTGTCAAACGATACACGGTACCGATACATAGAAACATTTCTTGTTCAATATATTAATGACGTCGATGTTGATGGTGTTGGAGAGATCCTCCAGGATGGAGCTGTCAGGATACTGAGAGGAAGAATAATGACAATTATTATGGATATACAACTTTTTTTTTCTGTGGAGGCGACGTTTTGACATAGATTCTAATGTTGTTGTCATCTGACAATTGTGTAAATGGATATGCGTTCGACGGTCATCACGACTATATAGCGTCTTTACTGGAAAAAAGGCTGTTCTCGTGAAGCCTATTCTTTCGTTAATGTCTGTCCCTTCCACACATTATAAGGATTCCTCGGTAGGATTTGTGAATTGTTGCCTGTGTTTGTTTATGAAATTGTAACACAAAGAACGAGGCCATTTCAGTTGTGCAGAAGCCTGCAGAAATCTCTATATGATTCAGCTTTTCGTTACAGCGTTCGGCAGGCAAGTCCATATAGTATACGCGCCCAGCCTATTATCAATGTTGTCAAGCTTCGGCATCGTTTCGCGCCGTCGGGATTTAATAACTTTTTCCCTAAAGACCGTGCTTACCCAATAGTTCCAATCACTGGTGGCACAATTTAAATGTGCACTTTGAAAAAGCAGAGTGGGTTTGTTGGTTAAAACAATCTCTAAAAGAGGTAAAACAACCTTTCAATGAAAACCGTTGCAGAAAAACACTATTGTCAAATACATAAGAGATAGCTTAAAGTGAAGTTATTTTTCTGGAGACTAGTTCACGTCAACATTCAACAGAAAGATCGTCATCATGTTGGTCAGTCGTTGTTTACAATCCCTCTGAAATTGCTGCTTCAAACCGATGTTACAACTACATTAAACTCTTAATATTCGAAATCCTTTTCAAATGTGTTTATGTACTAGTATTGCCCAATATAGATATGATTGAAACACTCCTTTCTATCCGCTGTCAAACGATACACGGTACCGATACATAGAAACATTTCTTGTTCAATATATTAATGACGTCGATGTTGATGGTGTTGGAGAGATCCTCCAGGATGGAGCTGTCAGGATACTGAGAGGAAGAATAATGACAATTATTATGGATATACAACTTTTTTTTTCTGTGGAGGCGACGTTTTGACATAGATTCTAATGTTGTTGTCATCTGACAATTGTGTAAATGGATATGCGTTCGACGGTCATCACGACTATATAGCGTCTTTACTGGAAAAAGGCTGTTCTCGTGAAGCCTATTCTTTCGTTAATGTCTGTCCCTTCACACATTATAAGGATTCCTCGGTAGGATTTGTGAATTGTTGCCTGTGTTTGTTTATGAAATTGTAACACAAAGAACGAGGCCATTTCAGTTGTGCAGAAGCCTGCAGAAATCTCTATATGATTCAGCTTTCGTTACAGCGTTCGGCAGGCAAGTCCATATAGTATACGCGCCCAGCCTATTATCAATGTTGTCAAGCTTCGGCATCGTTTCGCGCCGTCGGGATTTAATAACTTTTTCCCTAAAGACCGTGCTTACCCACTAGTTCCAATCACTGGTGGCACAATTTAAATGTGCACTTTGAAAAAGCAGAGTGGGTTTGTTGGTTAAAACAATCTCTAAAAGAGGTAAAACAACCTTTTAATGAAAACCGTTGAAGAATAACACTATTGTCAAATACATAAGAGATAGCTTAAAGTGAAGTTATTTTTCTGGAGACTAGTTCACGTCAACATTCAACAGAAAGATCGTCATCATGTTGGTCAGTCGTTGTTTACAATCCCTCTGAAATTGCTGCTTCAAACCGATGTTACAACTACATTAAACTCTTAATATTCGAAATCCTTTTCAAATGTGTTTATGTACTAGTATTGCCCAATATAGATATGATTGAAACACTCCTTTCTATCCGCTGTCAAACGATACACGGTACCGATACATAGAAACATTTCTTTGTTCAATATATTAATGACGTCGATGTTGATGGTGTTGGAGAGATCCTCCAGGATGGAGCTGTCAGGATACTGAGAGGAAGAATAATGACAATTATTATGGATATACAACTTTTTTTTTCTGTGGAGGCGACGTTTTGACATAGATTCTAATGTTGTTGTCATCTGACAATTGTGTAAATGGATATGCGTTCGACGGTCATCACGACTATATAGCGTCTTTACTGGAAAAAGGCTGTTCTCGTGAAGCCTATTCTTTCGTTAATGTCTGTCCCTTCCACACATTATAAGGATTCCTCGGTAGGATTTGTGAATTGTTGCCTGTGTTTGTTTATGAAATTGTAACACAAAGAACGAGGCCATTTCAGTTGTGCAGAAGCCTGCAGAAATCTCTATATGATTCAGCTTTTCGTTACAGCGTTCGGCAGGCAAGTCCATATAGTATACGCGCCCAGCCTATTATCAATGTTGTCAAGCTTCGGCATCGTTTCGCGCCGTCGGGATTTAATAACTTTTTCCCTAAAGACCGTGCTTACCCAATAGTTCCAATCACTGGTGGCACAATTTAAATGTGCACTTTGAAAAAGCAGAGTGGGTTTGTTGGTTAAAACAATCTCTAAAAAGAGGTAAAACAACCTTTCAATGAAAACCGTTGCAGAAAACACTATTGTCAAATACATAAGAGATAGCTTAAAGTGAAGTTATTTTTCTGGAGACTAGTTCACGTCAACATTCAACAGAAAGATCGTCATCATGTTGGTCAGTCGTTGTTTACAATCCCTCTGAAATTGCTGCTTCAAACCGATGTTACAACTACATTAAACTCTTAATATTCGAAATCCTTTTCAAATGTGTTTATGTACTAGTATTGCCCAATATAGATATGATTGAAACTCCTTTCTATCCGCTGTCAAACGATACACGGTACCGATACATAGAAACATTTCTTGTTCAATATATTAATGACGTCGATGTTGATGGTGTTGGAGAGATCCTCCAGGATGGAGCTGTCAGGATACTGAGAGGAAGAATAATGACAATTATTATGGATATACAACTTTTTTTTTCTGTGGAGGCGACGTTTTGACATAGATTCTAATGTTGTTGTCATCTGACAATTGTGTAAATGGATATGCGTTCGACGGTCATCACGACTATATAGCGTCTTTACTGGAAAAAGGCTGTTCTCGTGAAGCCTATTCTTTCGTTAATGTCTGTCCCTTCCACACATTATAAGGATTCCTCGGTAGGATTTGTGAATTGTTGCCTGTGTTTGTTTATGAAATTGTAACACAAAGAACGAGGCCATTTCAGTTGTGCAGAAGCCTGCAGAAATCTCTATATGATTCAGCTTTTCGTTACAGCGTTCGGCAGGCAAGTCCATATAGTATACGCGCCCAGCCTATTATCAATGTTGTCAAGCTTCGGCATCGTTTCGCGCCGTCGGGATTTAATAACTTTTTCCCTAAAGACCGTGCTTACCCAATAGTTCCAATCACTGGTGGCACAATTTAAATGTGCACTTTGAAAAAGCAGAGTGGGTTTGTTGGTTAAAACAATCTCTAAAAGAGGTAAAACAACCTTTCAATGAAAACCGTTGCAGAAAAACACTATTGTCAAATACATAAGAGATAGCTTAAAGTGAAGTTATTTTTCTGGAGACTAGTTCACGTCAACATTCAACAGAAAGATCGTCATCATGTTGGTCAGTCGTTGTTTACAATCCCTCTGAAATTGCTGCTTCAAACCGATGTTACAACTACATTAAACTCTTAATATTCGAAACCTTTTCAAATGTGTTTATGTACTAGTATTGCCCAATATAGATATGATTGAAACACTCCTTTCTATCCGCTGTCAAACGATACACGGTACCGATACATAGAAACATTTTCTTGTTCAATATATTAATGACGTCGATGTTGATGGTGTTGGAGAGATCCTCCAGGATGGAGCTGTCAGGATACTGAGAGGAAGAATAATGACAATTATTATGGATATACAACTTTTTTCTGTGGAGGCGACGTTTTGACATAGATTCTAATGTTGTTGTCATCTGACAATTGTGTAAATGGATATGCGTTCGACGGTCATCACGACTATATAGCGTCTTTACTGGAAAAAGGCTGTTCTCGTGAAGCCTATTCTTTCGTTAATGTCTGTCCCTTCCACACATTATAAGGATTCCTCGGTAGGATTTGTGAATTGTTGCCTGTGTTTGTTTATGAAATTGTAACACAAAGAACGAGGCCATTTCAGTTGTGCAGAAGCTCGCAGAAATCTCTATATGATTCAGCCGTGTAAATGGATATGAGTTCGACGCTCATTGCGAATGTAACGTCCTTACTGGGAAACAAAAAGGCTATTCCCGTGAAGCCTATTTTTTTGTTAATGTCTGTCCCTTCCACACATTATAAGGATTCCTCGGTAGGATTTGTGAATTGTTGCTGTGTTTGTTTATGAAATTGTAACACAAAGAACGAGGCCATTTAAATGTAGTGTCCATGCATGTGTGCTACATAGGGCGGCCTCTTTGATGCAGGTGTAAAGTTTTGACAGGTAAGTGAGTACACGCTCACCCGGCGGAGGCTTCTTTAATGTACAGCTACCTCATCTACGACTGCTACCTTTTTAATTAAACAAACAAAGATATACTTCTTATCGCTGTGAAAACAATCAAGATGTTCCAGCTTAAACAGCATGGCGGCTATGCACGAAGGACTAATTCCTGATTGCTAACAACACAAATGTGGGAGTAATGAGTGGGTGGTGTATGGGGGTCGACTTGAAAGAAGTCCGAAAGTCATGCTACGGTAATAAATACTGAAACGCTCCTACTTCAGGCATCAGTCACAGATCTGCGCTCATCTGAACCAGTTAAAATTGTCACGACGATCATCTTCACATTAGTCGCAATTTGCCCTTTGAAAGATTTCTACACAATTACGACGCCAAAATGAAGGTGAAGAGCCCCGAGACCAAGCCAAGCAAGTGTAGCGTAAACAAGACAATCGTTCCGGCCAGGAACCGAATCAAGTACTCTGCTAGTCAGGTAAACATTTCATTACTCCAAACGTCAAATGGAAAACAAAGCATAAACGCTAACCTAACGCTAATCACACAAAATACATGTGAAACCAGATTTCATCTGCACCATTCATATCCACAGTTGAGCCAGCTGGAGAAGGTGTTCCTGTCCTCTCAGTATCCTGACAGCTCCATTTTGGAGGATCTCTCCAACACCATCAACATCGACGTAGAGAGACTATCGGTAGGTGGACGAGCAAATCCCCAATGATACTTGAGCGAAGTTGGTCGTACAATACATCACATATCTGAAATATCAGTATGGGATAAAACTCATTTACCCTAATAAAAGCACGTAGTTGCCAGCAGATATACCACTGGGCTATTTCCACAACTAATTTACTTTGTATGGCATCATATTTCGGGTATAGATAATTGTTTCAGATATCGTTTCCTCATTGGAGAAAATGCTCCACCCCATAAAAGACCTTGTTTTTTGGGAATGTCTTAAGTGGCCACATCGTGGCATACAGATCTGGTTTCAGAACCGACGTTCCAAGTTCAAGAGACAGTCTAAAGGTGCTCACGTCAACTGGATGAGACAGCAACTGTATCAACAAGAAACATCACAGTCCCGTGACATAACGGCAACGGACAAGTGTCACGTGCTCACACCACCGACGACTATCAAGAAAGATGACGTGAAAGACAAACCCAAATCAAAGTAAGTACACACCAAACGACCATGCGTTCATCAGTTACTTTCGCAAGTGCATTATGCTCTGAATAGCTTCGACACACTCTCCTGTCACTCTCGTGCTTACAACACTTTCTTGTGCTTCAGTCTTCACTACCTGCCCAGAACCGGATCCGGCTACTCCTCACTGACGGACTATGACCCAGTCTACAACCCCTTGATGTTTCCATCATCTCACAACGTCTACAGCGCACTCACTGACGCAGTATCCAGTACACGGCCTGTCCAGAGTTCTCTTCACTACCCACCTCTGATGACAGAAACATCGTTCCAAGTCACGCCAAGCCCGCAACAGTGGACGGAGTATTCCAGCCAGTCCAACTTCACTTCTCCCCTAAGTCCATACCACCAGAATTATCTCCTCAACTGCCTAAGCGATCCCATGACATTTCCCCAGATTGGTGTCTAGATACATTTGTGTTCAGATGCCGCACGCGGGTGTATACATGAATTCCATGTCAAATGGTTACAGCAGTCCAACGATGAACTCATCTTTGGCTTTCTTTGTTACTATTAATGTATATATTGTTGTGTTTGCGTTATGGATTGCAAGTATCATTTCAGTATGACTGTATATGATTCTGAGATAATAAACATTATCTAAAAACCACAGGTTTCACGTTCTTATACAGCATGCATATCACAACTACCATTCGATAAACCATGAGCACAGGTGTCATACAGTAACAAAGCATCAGAAGCAGGTGAATCTTGGATTCGAACAGTCGATTTGTGAAGACTGGCATGACTGGGGGCAATGGTATCAATACAAAAACCTTTCTAACAGATAAGGAAAACAGGGTAATATATTGACATAGACTGACGACGGGGTTTCTCAGGGAACATTAACGAAGGAAGATGGTTAGGGTTAGATTTAAGTTAACGTTTTTGTCTTCTTTGTAATTTGGGGATGAACATGAATTTATCATTTTATCTTAATATGTAATTCCTGTAAGAACATCTATACCTGCCTAAAATGTAAACTGGCATAAACCGAATATCTACTCGTATTAGGCTTCTGTCTTCGAACGATGTGGGGTTACTGAGAACATTATGTAAATCTATATCTCAAAGTCATCAAATGAGACACAATTTTATAATTACTGGAATAATTTAAAGTAATATACGTTCAAAGTCATGCATGATTGTAAGTGCACTTTCTGTATCGGCCAGTGACCTAATCAGTTGTGCAGAATCCTGCAGAAATCTCTATATGATTCAGCTTTTCGTTACAGCGTTCGGCAGGCAAGTCCATATAGTATACGCGCCCAGCCTATTATCAATGTTGTCAAGCTTCGGCATTGTTTCGCGCCGTCGGGATTTAATAACTTTATCCCTAAAGACCGTGCTTACCCAATAGTGCCAATCACTGATGGCACAAATTAAATGTGCACTTTGAAGAAGCAGAGTTGGATTGTTGGTTAAAACAATCTCTAAAAGAGGTAAAACAACCTTTAAATGAAAACCGTTGAAAAATAACACTATTGTCAAATACATAAGAGATAGCTTAAAGTGAAGTTATTTTTCTGGAGACTAGTTCACGTCAACATTCAACAGAAAGATCGTCATCATGTTGGTCAGTCATTGTTTACAATCCCTCTGTAATTGCTGCTTCAAACTGATGTTACAACTACATTAAACACTTAATATTCGAAATCCTTTTCAAATGTGTTTATGTATTAGTATTGCCCAATATAGATATTATTGAAACACTCCTTTCTATCAGCTCTCCCCTAAGTCCATACCACCAGAATTATCTCCTCAACTGCCTAAGCGATCCCATGACATTTCCCCAGATTGGTGTCTAGATACATTTGTGTTCAGATGCCGCACGCGGGTGTATACATGAATTCCATGTCAAATGGTTACAGCAGTCCAACGATGAACTCATCTTTGGCTTTCTTTGTTACTATTAATGTATATATTGTTGTGTTTGCGTTATGGATTGCAAGTATCATTTCAGTATGACTGTATATGATTCTGAGATAATAAACATTATCTAAAAACCACAGGTTTCACGTTCTTATACAGCATGCATATCACAACTACCATTCGATAAACCATGAGCACAGGTGTCATACAGTAACAAAGCATCAGAAGCAGGTGAATCTTGGATTCGAACAGTCGATTTGTGAAGACTGGCATGACTGGGGGCATACTTTCTTTTCAACAGTTTTTATTCACATCAGTAGGTACATTCATTTTATACAAAAATCATACATAGGTACAGTGATAGGTACAATCATTTTATACAAAAGTCATACATAGGTACAGTGATAGGTACAATCATTTTATACAAAAGTCATACAATCTAGGTACAGTGATAGGTACAATCATTTTATTCAAAAGTCGTACAATCAAGGCTGTATAATTACGGATCATCTAGGCTTGAACAATTAGGTAGTCGGTGCTGTGGGTAATATTACTTGTTTGCTCGTGGGTTCATTTGGTTTGTTTTATAACAGGAACATATCATTCCGGGTAGCCAAGAAGTAGGAACATTCATACATTATTATACAGATGTCATGCCTAATACAGGCTTGTACATGTTGACAATTCACAACGCATCAGTCTTCAACCATGAGTAGGTCCATTCAAATATTACTGTACAAAGATCATACATTGTACACATTGACGAGTCATGACACATCAGACCATAAGAAAGTTATTAATCCTAAAATCATAGATACATATAGGTTTAGAACTGTCTATCAGCCTTATCCATTTAGAGAGGTTACTAACAGCTCGATGATGGTCTAAACAAGTACCCTTAAGATTGAATTGTTTTTCAAGTCTACAAAGGATAAGAGCTCATTCTCGTCACATACGTAGGTCTCTTATATAATGCACTCATGCTATTTTTAGGATACTGAGCTTTAGCAATGATATAAAACACATTTATATCTACCATTCTCAATCCACCATTCTCATAGTTACTTGTCAAATTCGCCCGTTTAATTTTATCAGGTTTTGGAGTTTCAAATAAACAGAGAATATGTTTAAAGAAAATTGAATTTAGTTCAACAAATTTAGTTTAACACATTATTTGGGTGGAATTTAAGCAATGTAGAGAATATGTGAACAATGAGTAGATAATGCTAAAGTTTTTTATCACCGATTCATTGTTGAAATTGAACTATTTTCAATTTTCTATTGAGATTTGGATATGACGTATAATGCATGGATATACATCCACACCTCGTTATCCGGGACTCAGTTAAAAGAAGATTTGTAATTAGATCTACTATCTGTCCTTGATTTCCTAAAACCAAAACACGCAATAGCAAAGGTTAAACTGAGAGATTGACGTATATAAACAGCAGCCAAATTAAGAAATGGAATCATAGAAACATACGAAAATGGGACTGTTATCAATGCAAAAGACAGATCTTTTATCACAGTTAAAACTGAAAATAAATATGTGCACCCTTCTCACATACATGAGTTACAGAGAGGTTCAGGTCAGTGGAAATTGCAAAGTCGGATGCTTGGTTTGTTGTCTAATGCCGCACTCAGCAATATTCCAGCTATATGGCGGCGATCAGTAAATAATTGATTCTGAATCAGACAATCAAGTGATCAACATCATGAGCATCGATCTACGCATTTGGGATACGATGATCCGTGTCAACCAAGTCAGCTAGCATGACAACCCTATGCCGTTAGTCGCCTCTGTAACCTGGACCTTCACGGGTACAAATTGCTAAGACAGAAGGCGTATTCTTAAACCCGTAAAGCAACAACAATCAACAGGCTGTCAACATGTGTAATGCAACTACGACATACAGCCTGAAGCCCAATTACATGTTGTTAGTTTATATGCAACCTCATTTGACAGGTAGCATCATAACGCGAGAAAGTTGCACCATTTACCTCACCATGGATTGGTGAGGACTCCCTTAACCCAAATGACATAACACAGACCTTGACTCATGGCATAAATCAACCTTATTTCTTATGAACCAAATTATGATCATTATTGATATATTTTCCCACTTATGCCAATTCTAATTTTCAAGTGTGTAATTGGATATGAGTTCGACGCTCATCGCGACTATAACGTCCTTACTGGGAAACAAAAAGGCTATTCCCGTGAAGCCTATTTTTTCGTTAATGTCTGTCCCTTCCACACATTATAAGGATTCCTCGGTAGGATTTGTGAATTGTTGCCTGTGTTTGTTTATGAAATTGTAACACAAAGAACGAGGCCATTTAAATGTAGTGTCCATGCATGTGTGCTACATAGGGCGGCCTCTTTGATGCAGGTGTAAAGTTTTGACAGGTAAGTGAGTACACGCTCACCCGGCGGAGACTTCTTTAATGTACAGCTACCTCATCTACGACTGCTACCTTTTTAATTAAACAAACAAAGATATATTTCTCACAGCTGTGAAAACAATCAAGATGTTCCAGCTTAAACAGCATGGCGGCTATGCATGAAGGACTAATTCCTGATTGCTAACAACACAGATGTGGGAGTAATGAGTGGGTGGTGTATGATTGTACAAAAATGGTCTTTCAAATTTCGGAAATCATGAGAAAATGCAGTTATGAAATCATCTGAGGTGCAGTCATTTACTCAAGTGGTAGATAATTTATTATCTCATAATTTTGTATATGCAAGAAATGCGCTTATTGATAATGATAAGGATTTATGATTGAAGCAAATTTGGGATGATACAGGGTTAACAAACGGCAATAAACTGAGAACATATCAACAGTTCAAAATGTCTCTTAATACCTCCCAGTATGTGACTAATGTATCAATAGAGAACATCGCAGTTTATTGGGAAAGTTTAGATGTGGCACCACCAGAATTATCTCCTCAGCTGCCTAAGCGATCCGATGACGTTTCCCCAGATCGGTGTCTAGATCTCCCAGGGACACATTCATGGTCAAATGCAGCACCCTGGCGTATGAAGGAATTCCTTGTCAATTGGTTACAGCAGTCCAACGATGAACTCATCTTTGGCTTTCTTTGTTACTATTAATGTATATATTGTTGTGTTTGCGTTATGGATTGCAAGTATCATTTCAGGATGACTGTGCATATGATTCTGAGATAATAAACATTATCTAAAAGCTATTACGTGCCATGTTCTTATACAGCGTGCATGTCACAACAACTGCTAGAACAGGTGTCATACAGAAGCAAGGTATCATAAACAGGTGAATCTTGGATTCGAACTCTCAGTTTGTGTACACTGGCATGAGTGAGGCACGTGCTTCTGCAAAGTGAATGTCCGTGCAATTTTCGCCCCATGTAATCTAATGAATCAATTAGATGGGGATTCATTGTTGAAAATGAACAATTTCCTATTGAAATTACATATAGAGTATGAATATACATCTTCTCCTCGCCAGCGGGCGCTCGGTTTGTGATCAGTTGAACTATCTGTCGTTGATTCCTAAAGCCAAGACATGCAATAGCGAAGGCAAAACTGAGAGTGGTCGTATATAAACAGCAGCCAGAGATAAGAAACGAACTCGCATCAACATGCGGAAATGGGAATGGTATCAATACAAAAACTAATTGAAACTTAGATAAATGTAGCCGA